TCCAAGTTGTGGTTCTTGGTGTTGGTGGTGGTGGCTCACGTCGTGGTATGCTGTTCCCCATATTGACGTCCTCGCCAGCTCCGCCACCCGCGTCGCCAACCTGATTTGCGGGTTGCCCGTTCGTCCACAAGGCCGCGCTGCATAGTATAACATGTTCTTCGTTTACCTATGTGCATCACAACATCCTCGTTCCCCTCCGACTCGGCCCTGCTTGCTTGCCTGATTTGCCCTGGTGCAATCAGTACCAGCACTGGTGCGTCCTTCTTGAGCCAATTTGATGGCAGCGCCTCGCCAGGCAGGCAGGCTCACCCTGCAGTCGCTTCGAGGTGATGTGCTGCACCCCACGACAGTAGAAGCCCACTTGCCCTTGCAGAAAGGGGCCTCGTGGTGGTCGAACTCGAGGCAGAGCAGCCCTTGAGGTGTAGAGCCCCCCGCTTGTCGTCGTTCTCATAAGGATGTTGTGGCTGTCGCCGATCTCTGCGAATGTCTTCGTGATGTTGCCCGTCGCCGCGTCGAAGTAGAGCGTCTTGGGTGGACCAGCTCATGATAGCCAGCCCTGCGAGAAGCATGTTGGCGCCTCTACGCCTGTGATGGATCGCACCGCGCTCGTCGGAATGATGACCCTGAAGCTCGAGGCGTCGGCGTTGATGACCATGATCATTAGCCTAGCATCGTCTGAGAGTAGGACCTCCGCCTTGTCAAGGAGCACTTTCTCATTAAACTCCGTCGACAGCTTCAGATTTGCTGAGCGCACTGTCGTAGGTCTGCCGAGCTCCCGACACGTCGAGCCTTCCAGCTTGTGCAGTGCGTCTAGCACCTCCTCCGTCACTCCGTAGGTCTTGAGTTGCCTCGTCATCGCGTGTGCCGACGGATGACTGGGGTTAAGGTGTATTTTCTGCAGTGCTGAACCTTTCGCCCTCATGCTCGAAATTATTGCGTGCAGCGTCAGCGTCACGGTCCTCAGTTTGTGTCATGATGGTGTTGGTCTCCGCGGTATCGCCGGGTATGATGTCTGAATCTTCGGTGCGTTCACGTAGGTCACGATCGAGATGTCGCTGTCCAGCCTCACCGCCTCTGGGCGCGTAATGAAGTAGTCGCATCCCCTCCACACGTCTGCGAAGTCAGCTGGCAGCGGCTGTCCCTTATCGTTGTAGGTGGCCGTGATCCGCATTGTGGCGCTCATGTTGTGCTTGACGCGGCCCTCGCTCTTCGCAATCTGGATATGGATGAGGTCGCTGCGCAGGTAGAACTCCCTGGCCACCTTGCGCCGCATCACGGGTGTCGCCTCGCTCTCGCCGATAGCCTTACCCAGCCTGCAATTTATGGGATTCTTCCCGAAGGCACGCTGGCGCGTGGCCGCACTAAACAGTGTCCGAGCGACTGACCTTGGCCTCGCTCCTGCCGCTTCTCGGTACTGATTCCCGCGACCTACCGCGTCCGCGCGTCGGTGGGTCCTGTCGCACTTCATGGTGATCCACCACTAGAAACATCGATCCTTCGGCACCAGTGTCACCGTAGGTTTGTTGATCAGTTCACCCTCGTAGTCGATCAGCCCGTACATGCACTGGTCCAGCCGAATCGGTTTGTGATTGGCGTCGTCCCGCATGTACACCGCTCGGATGTCATCGCCACTCGAGCTTCATAGTCTGTATCGTTTTCGATGGCGAAGGCCTCTCCGCCCGCGTAGTCGTAGCCGTCCAGCGTTGTGGCGGCGCACTGCTGGCTCACGTAGGCGTAGTGGTCTTCGTTCAACTCGTACCAGTAGCTTAGCCGTCGCCTACCTGGGTCCAGCACGCATCCTCGTCGAAGTCGCCACGGGTGCCCTCGTCGTGCTGGCCGCCGTCGGCATCCTCGTAGTAGGCCCACCGTCTCGGTTGTACACGTGGCCGGATGTCCTCACCACGTTGCCGGGAGCCTCGCGGGTACATGTTCGTTAGCGTCATGGTGGTCTCCGCGAACTGGATCGTCTCGTCAGCACTGGTAAAGACTGTCTGCTTCTCGTCGCAGTCCAGTCTTGATTTCTGCAGCGTCCAGTAGCCAAGCTTGTTGTCGCCGATCTTCGTCCCGCTGTATCCTCTCCAGGTGAGATCGTGCCACCACCATTAGCAGAATGCCGCTCTGGGTTCAGCTACGCGCTTCTCGAATGGGGTCTCCTTGTAGGATGCGTCGTACGCTCGCCGTAGTTCTCGGAAGTCCGCTTTGCTGAACCTTGATTGCTCCAGGGAGGTGATGCGTTTCTTCGCTGCAGCCTCGTCGGCGTTCTGGATCTCTCTGCTCGATCGTCACTGGAGTGATGCTGTTCAGGGCCAGCAGGTTCTAGTATAATTATCTGTGGCCTAGCGATGTCTTGTCCTTCTCTCGGGGAAACGTAAGACTCGAGTAAGCTGGAACTCGGGTTTACCGAAGTTGTTTGACGAGCGCGTCCTGGATTTTGACGGTCCCGTGTTCGTGGGATGTTTGCAGCGGGAGTTCGAGTCGAATTTCAGATTGGGCCTCGTCAGTTTCATGATGGCCCCGTCAGGCCGACCCGAGTCCCACGTACCAGAGTCTCACGTCTCCACGGTTCTAATCATGGCACGATCGTACGTTGGCCTCCACTGCGCGTTCTTACCTGGCAGAGTCCTTCAAGCTCTGGCCCGTCAGCGATGCGGCCTTTCGGTCCACGCTGCTACGCAGTCCATCTCATCGCAGTCCGCTGGGGTGGCCAGCCCTAAGATGGATAGGAAAGTCAGTATGAGGGGACCGAACGGTCATTCATTGTCCCTGGGTGTGTGTGGCTTAAGTGGGGATCCGTGATGAGAATTCTGCTTGCTGCGTTGTTGTGTGTTGTCGTCGTTTCACCCGCGACCCACTCGCGACGCACCCCGCGACGCACCGTGCGACCCACCCCGCGGCCCACCCCGCGACCCACCCCGCGACCCACCCCGCGACCCACCCCGCGACCCACACGTGACCCACCCCGCGACCCACCCGCGACCCACCCGCGACCCACCCGCGACCCACCCGCGACCCACCTCGCGATCCACCCGCCACCCACCCCGCGACCCATCCGCGGCCCACCCGCGACCCACTCGCGACGCATTTGCGACCCACCCGCGACCCACCAAGCGCGACCCACCTGCAACCCACGCGCGACCCAACAGCGACACACCCGCGACCCACCCGCGACCCGTTTGTGGCCCACCCGCGACCCACCCGCGACCTACCCACATTCTGGTTTAACGAAACAATCGGCGCTTGCGGCGGGCTCGTTGTATAATTTGTGAAATTGTGGCGCCTGCGGCGGGCGTCTCCAGAGTCTCGCAAACTGACGATGTCCCCACCGCCCTCTCACTCTCATCCGCATCTGCGGGGTGCTACGTATTTATTTTGGGAGTCCCAATTCCCAATCTACAATAGCCGCCTTCCTATTTCAAGAGTCGAGTGGTGTTTCCCCTTCCCTCATCTTCAGGAGGCGGGCGGAAACCCAATCTAATTCCCACGCCTTCCTACTTCATGGTTCTACCTACTCTTCCGACCGATGAGTATGGATAGGAATATGAATACAGGGGCCAACCGCTTGCTCCAAAACCAACCTCGATTTTCTTCGAATCCCCACAGGGAATCAACGGGACCCCGAGGGGTCGGAGAGGATCTTGATGAAGTTGCCGACGTCGCCGTCCTCTCTCTACCGCCGCCGCTGAGGGAGCGAATAGAAGAGGGCACCTGTGGTCACCAGGGCTCTTGGCGCCTGAAACGGTTTGAGCATAAATATCCAGGCACGCATCCTGAGTTGTCCTTGTATGCATCAGTATTCGCAAGCGTTTCGAACCACACGCCAGGTACTTCTGGCAGTCCCGCCCTGCCCGCGACGTCCCCTACGACTTGGCCGTGGCGGTGGCACCCATGATCTCTATGTGGCCCCACCCCTGGAGCTGGAGACTGGCCTCCAGCCGGCAAACGTGGAACAGTTGGGCATCGCATTTTCCTTTGTGACGCCAGGGCGTCAGGAGAGGAACAGCTTGGACGCCGGAAAGGGGTACAGGAAGCATGCGCACGATGCCCCACCACAAATGTTGTCGACCGCCGACCGCGGCCGCTGTTGGGCAGGCGGCCTGCTGTCTCAAATGGACAACGTCCGCGGCGACACCGACAGCGAGTCCTGCTCAAACTAGTCGGCGGCGAGCCCAGAGGGGAAGTGAGAAGGAGCTGCTGCGATCCTCGTTGCCTCCGCTGGTCGCTCCGGCCTGCTCCACGAGGAACTCTTCCACGTCTGAGCGGTTCCCCATCTCCCTCCCCCCGCGCAGCCGTCTTAGGATGAATCGACCCCCGACTTGTCTTGGGATGAGTGGTGGCCAGAATTTGCGGGCGGATCGAACCTGATCAGGCTTCGATTTGCACACGGACAGCCCACCCTGGAGGGTTTCTCCGCAGGGCTCAGGCGACCCTTCCTCCTCCTTCTCCTCCCTTCTCCTCCTACTCCTCCTCCTTCTCCCTCCTTGTCCTCCTCCTCCTCCTCCTTTTCCTCCTCCTCCTCCTCCTCCTCCATCTCCTGTCGCCGATCGGGTCGGTCTTCAGGGCGATGGCGGCCTTCGCGTGCCTGGAGCTCAACTTGGCCAAGTGTCACTTGGTGCCGCTCTGGGCGCCGACCTCGGAGGCCCTCACCGTCTTTGCCAGGGGCTCCTCGGAGGCCGTGGACGGCTGGCCGGGCTTCTCGATCACCTCCATGGCCAAGTAGCTGGGCTGCCTGGAGCGGACCTCAGCAGGTAGTGGCATGAGCCTGCTGCCGAGTTCGCCGACGCGCTCACCCAGGCATACAAAGGCTTGGCGGTGCCGTGTCTCCTCCATGGTGGCATGCTCTTCCCGTTGCCCGACGAAGTGCTGGACCGCGAGGTGGACCCGATACACGTGCTGCTGCGGGTGCCGCGAAGGCCTTCAGGAAGGACTGCCTCCTCTCCATTGTCAGCAGCCTGGGCCTCACGGCACCGCTGTCGCTGGTCGCTTCGGCGGCCGCGGCGAGGATGTGGGTCGCGCTCAGTATGCAGCAGGAGTGGAGGGGTCTGCCCGAGGGCGTACAGGACCACTTCCTGAATGTGTGCGGCTCGGCGCAGATGGTGCTGTCGGGCTTCCCGCAATCCCTCTTCACCCCGAGCTGGTGGCGTGACCGCCGAGGCCCTGCGCGGCACCTACGAGACGTGCTCCAGGGCAAGGCGCCGCATCGTCGGCCCAGGCACCGAGACAGGGCGGAGGCGAACCTGAAGGAGGCGCTGCGGATGACGGAGGAAGCAGAAGTTGCGTGGCGGGCAGAGCCACGGTGTGTGGGTGAGCGTCGGGAAAAAAAACGTATTCCTTTCCAGTACTCCTTTCGTTCCTTCCTCACGGCCCTCGCTTACTCCGATTGTTGTCCCATCGCGTTCAGGAAACGTCTTGCTGCGTGGGGGGTAAAAGTTCCTCCCACCAGTGTGCTGAGCCGGTCGCTGGACGGCTTTAAAGCACGTTCTGCCCTGTATCGTTTCAGCGCACCCTGGTTCAGGGCCTCAGCATTTACTTCGTTGCTTGGAATCTGTACGTGCACGCACGAGTGGGTAGGTGACCCCCTTCTGGAACGACGACCGTTCCTCCTCCATCTCCTCCTCCCCCTCCCCCTCCCCTTCCTCAACCACCACCTCCTTGTCCTCCTCCTCCTCCTCCTCCTCCTCCTCCTCCTGCTCCTCGGGTCCTACGGCCCCGGGGGGCAACCGTGCAGCCCACCCCTGGGGCGCGGAGCGCACCAGGTGCGCCGCAAGAGGCGACGCCAGGATGTTAAGGCCGTCCTGGGCGACTCGGTGGGGCATGTCGAGGCCAGCCGGGGCTACTCTGGGGGCCCGCTGAGGCCAGCTGGGACTACCTTGTGTGAGCTTGATACGCAACCCGTACCGTGCTCAAAAAGTCCATGTCAACACGTTTCGTGTTGGTTCAGTTCATTGGCCCACGTCTTGGCGAACATCTCGCGTCAGGCCTACATTTTCAGTCTTCGTGTCGAGCTCGGTGTCAACACGCTGCGTGTTTCGTGTTGCGTGTCAGGGCAGCTAGGGGCCAGAAGCGTCCCGTTCGCTGACTGATGCTGCTTTAGGGCTGGACCTAAGCGCTGTTTTCCTGGACTGCGGCTGTGTTTTGTTTTTCGTTGTGGCAGGGAGGTACAGAAAAGCAGGTAGAGCAGAACGGAACTCAACACGATACCGAAATTAAACAGGATACCGCAGCGAAAACGAACACGAAACGATAACAAAAAGAGAACGAACACATAAAAAACAACAGTAAAACGAACACTCAAAACGATGATTAAACAACAACAACGTTTAGGTCCAGCCCGGTGCTGCTGTTCCTCTCGACGAGGGGGGTCCAGGCCCTCGGCTCGCCGCTGCCGCCGTCGCCGCCGTCGGCGTCGGCGTCGGCGTCGGCGTCGGCGTCGGCGTCGTCGTCGTCGTCGTCGTCGTCGTCGTCGTCGTCGTCGTCGTGGGCCGCGCTCGCTGCTCGTCGCTCGTCGTCGTACCTCGCTGGTGGTCGCCCGTCGGCCGGGGGGGGGGGGGGGGGGCGCTGCGTTGAGCGGGGCTCCCCAGGACGCCTGGCCCGCCGCCGCCGCTGTGGCGTCGCTGCAGGCGCTCGCGGCGCGGGGAGGGGCCTTCACCGACATCGACCAGTGCTCCAGGAAGATCAAGTTGCATACCAGCCAGCGTGAACCCCAACATGTGATCTGAATTCTTGCAATAAAATCCAAGGCAAAGCAATGCAACGCGATGCAATGCGAAGCAATGCGAAGCAAGGAATTGCACAGCAATCCAAAGCAATGCAATGCAATGCAACGCAAGGCAATGCAAAACCAGGTACAAGAAAACAAATCAATCCAAATCAATGCAATGCAGTGCGATTGAAATGCAAATCAATGCACAACAATTCAAAACAATGCAAGGCAATGCGCACACAGCAATACGAAGCAATGCGGAGCAATGCGATGCGATGCGATGCGATTGCAATGCAAAGCAATCCAGCGGCGACGGGCGGCGACAAGCAGGCCGGGACGCCGCTGGGACCCGGTTACCAGCGGCGGCGGTGGCGATTAGCCGGCCAGACCACCGCACGAGCTCATGCATTTTAGAAGACAAGTGAGACCCCCCTCATTGCAAGCACTGTTTGGCGAATGTGCGACACTTGTCCGAGGTCCGCGCGGACTTCGGTAAGCTTATGTCCCCACCATCTGGTGGTGCTGGGGCCTCGTTTTGAAGAGGCAGCGCCCCGCGTTCTCCTTCCTCCTCCTCCTCCTCCTCCTTCTCCTCCTCCTCCTCCTCCTCCTCCTCCTCCTCCTCCTCCTCCTCCCATCCGTGCCTCTGCCCTCCGCATGTCCACTATTTCGGCGAACCCCTCACACGCTTTGTGGCCTCATAGGTAGCTCCACCGACGGCTCAAGTTGTAGACTTCGCATGGCACCACCCCTCCCAATCCGGAACACCCCTCACACTGTGCGCGGCCCGGCCCCACAGGGAGCTCCACCGAAAGCTCCAGTGGGAGGGTTCGCACGGCACCATCGCACCCAATTCGCCAGCCGTGCTGTCGCCCGAGCCCCCAGGGCGCTCGGCAGTGGGGACAGCGGAAACACCCCTCACTCTGACATCACTAGGCCTGCGCATTATGCTCGAGACTGTGGCCATCAGCACCTTCGCTGACCGACGGGCCGACCGACGAATCGACGATGCCTGGATGATATACAAACGCATCGGGACTGGCTGGCTTGAAACACGACTCGTCAGCCCACGGATCCTCCTCCCCAACCTCTTCCCACGCTCCGAGATCGAAAAAATTCCCGAGGGCCTCGCGGCCGTCGTTGGGCCCAGGCGGGCCAGGAGCATGCGGCGGGTCAGGGGGGTCGGGGTCCTCGGGGCCGAGATCGCCAGAGGGGCCAGTCCTGGAAGGAAATATATTTGAACAAAAAAACTCGTCGCAGTCGGCACGGGCCCTCTCTTTAACAAGCTGAGATCGAGCCTGCTGTTCCGCCCGCGCCGTGCTCGACTTCGAACCCGCCACGGGGCTGAGGCTCGGCCGTGAGACCTGCGGCAAGCGCGGGGCGGCGACGAGAGAACGCTGGTAGAAATGCTCCCCTGAACCGTGCATGGTGGGCCCGAGGCCTACATGAGGGCCCTGGGGGACATCAGACGGCGCCTCGAGAGACTTGATATGAGGCAAACAACTCTCGGACGCCAGATCAAAGAATGTGAGAATTACCTGCGCCCCCGACGCATGTGTAGCTCACGCCGCATTGCCTGACTTGCCCTCCGACGCGTTGAACAAATGTCGACTGACGAAACTGGTTCACATCGATGTTAAATTCGCCTATCACGAGCCAGGGAAGCTGGAGCATCTGCAACAACGCTCTGAGTTTTCCGAACCTCTCAAAGTTTGCGCCCCTGGCTCCGATCGAAGGGTGCGCATAGAACAAAATTAAGACAAGAGGGTACCTTTTACAGTACACGATGGCTGGCAGGAAGCCATCTAGCGCCTCGGCGCCATCTGAGCGCAGAGACGCCGCTTCGGACGCCTTGCTGAACAGACGCGTCACTTGTCGGTGCCCTGGCGCCCACAGCGCCTCACCGCCCTCGTTGGCCCGCTGCTCTGAGGATGTAGACTTACCTTTGCCAGTGCTCCGAGCCATGTTGTCGAGATACCTCCACTTGAGCTGTCGAGCCTTTTCTCGCCCACTGCGGCCGAGTGTGGCACCCTGCGTGAGTCCCGACCGCTCCTATCAAGTCGCATCTGCTCCTGTACTCCGACCTGGCAATGTGCGCCCAGGACTCGTTGCCCAAGCATGCGATGCTGGAGCGGAACATGCAAGGCGTAGATGTGGATTGCGACTCCGATGGTGACGAAGGGGTCGACGTAGCGCTGCCCGTAGCACAGACAGCCTCACTAGCCGACTCCGAGGTGGAAGGTGCAGACGTGCCCGTCGCTGAAGCCTCGCCCCACCTGGCGACTCCGAGGTAACGAGGGTTGACACCGCCGCGAAAATGTCAGCCCTCGATGGTGTAGATCACGCTGTGGCTGGCGCCGCCGCCTCAGCGGCTGCGGCCCCTGTAGCATTGGCGGCCCTGATCTTGCACATCTCGGCCTGGATCTCGCACTCAGAGGGGCCGCCAGCTGCTGGGCCCACCGGCACCTGCGGGCTCGCCGCGCCCTGGGCCGCGGCCGCCGCCGATCCGCCTGGGCGGCGGCGGCGGCGGGCCCGCCCGCGGGGGCCCCGCTCGCGCCCGCTGCGGCCCTTGGGGCGGTTTCTGCCTCGCAGCGCCGCTTCTTGGCGACCCTCTCCTGGACGCGTTTCTTCAGGTCCTCGGTCTGCGCCCTCCACTTGGTGACTTCGTCGGCCTTAGTGAGCACCGACTCTCGGACTGCTTTCAACTCCGCCTCGGCCTTGAGCAAGGGCTCCTTATCCTCCTTGCTGCAATCGAGGTCGTCCAGCTGCTTCAAAAACTCCTCGTCCCAGGTGAGATTGAACAATGGCTCCTCCTTGGGTGTACCTTCGGTGACAGCACCCGTCTCTCTGGCGAGCGCCTGTGCAGCACCTCGACGGTTGATCTCCGCGAGGGCGAGAGGCCTAGCTGCCTCGGTCTCCTTCTCTCATGCCTTGACCAAGTTCTGCTCCAGCCGCTGCACCTGCGCCGCCGCCTGTGAATACTTCGCGCTGTCTTCTCGCCACGCGCCCGCTGCACGGCGCACAGCCTCCTCGGCCGCCAACGGCTTGGTGGCCGCCAGCGCCGACTGCTGCGTCAAATTGAGCTGCTCCTCTAAAGTGGACTTGCCCTTCGGATCCTTGACGACTGCCAACGCCCCCGGCAACGCCACCGCGGTCTGCTGCGTGGAGTCGTCGTGGCCGACACTGCCCTTGGGCGTCTTGACCTCGAGCTCCAGCTTGGTCCTGTCGTTGTTCTTGCCCTTGTCATCCTTCGGGGCATAGAGCTTCACGGGTCGATGGCATGTGCGGCACTTCCCGCCGTTCTTGATGGGCTTGGCGTTGAACTCGTGAGTGCCGCATCCAGCGCACGTGCCCCAAGGGTTCGACATAGCCCTCGTCGACGTGCGCTCCTGACCCAGCTTTTGCCGACGGGATCTGCCGCGCTCAGACGCACGGATAATCCGCCGCCCCTCAAGCACCACGCCGAGGGCGATGCCAAAATGGTGCGCTCGGACCAGTGTTGCTTGAGAGGAGGAGGAGGAGGAGGAGGAGGAGGAGGAGGAGGAGGAGGAGGAGGAGGAGGAGGAGGAGGAGGAGGAGGAGGAGGCGGAGGAGGAGGAGGAGGAGGAGGAGGAGGAAGGGGCGTCTTGGGAGCCTCTGTGGGCACTCTTGGGGCCTCCTGGGAGCTTCCTGGGAGTCTCGTGGAGGCATTTTGGGGCCTCCTTGGGCCTCGTGGTGGTCTTTGGGGGCTTCTCGGGGCCCTCTTTTGGCAGTCTTAGGGCATTCCTGGACCGTCTGACGCCGTCGGATGCTGTCTTGGGGGCCTCTCTGGGCCGTCTTGGGGTGCTCCAGGGCCGTCTTGGAGGCCATTGTGGCGTTTTGGAGGTTCTTTGGGCAGTCTTTGGGGCCTCTTGAGCCGTTCAGGGAAATCAATGATTTTGGCCTCTTCGGGCCTTCCTGGAGGCCATCTTATAGACCTCTTGGGTCGCCTTGGAGACCTCTTGGGGCCTCTTGGGGGCCTCCTGGGCAGCTTTGGGCCATCTTGGAGCCATCTTGGGCCGTTTTGATGGCCTCCTGGCCCCTCTGACGCCGTCCGAAGCCGTCTTGGGAGCCTCTCTGGGCTGACTTGGGGCCCTCTCGTGGTGCTCCAGGGCCCTCTTGGAGACCATCTTGCTTGGAGGCCTGTTGGCCCGTCGTGGGGCCCTCTTGGGGGCCTCATGGTCCGTTCTGGGGCCATCTTGGAGGCCTCTTGGGGGATCTTAGGGCGATCTTTGGGGGCTCTTGGGCCGTCTCGGGCCGTCGGAAGGCCGAAAAGAAGCACATGCCCAAATCCTTCAACAACCCAAAGACCAATCGATGATTTTGGCCTCTTCGGCCTGATCGCCCTCTTGGGTGCCTCTTGGGCCGTTTCTAAGACCTCTTGGGGGCCTCTTGGGCATCTTGGACCATCTTGGAGCCATTTTGGGCAGTCTTGATGGCTTCCTGGCCCGTCGAGAGCCGTCTTGGGGGCCGCTCTGGGCAGACTTGGTGTCCTCTTGGGGTGCTCCAGTGCCGTCTTGGAGACCATCTTGGGCGTCTTGGGGGCCTGTTGAACCGTCTTGGGGTCCTCTTGGTGCCGTCTTGGGGGACTCTTGGGCCGTTCTGGGGCCATCTTGGAGGCCCCTTGGGCGATCTTGGGGCGTTCTTTGGGGGATCTTGGGCCGTCTCCGGCCGTCAGACAGCCGACAAAAAAACACATCGCCAAATCCTTCAACAACCGTCAGGAACTCAATGATTGTGGCCTCTTCGTGCCTTCCTGGAGGCCATCTTGGAGGCCTCGTGGGCCGTCCTGGAGGCTTTTTGGGAGCCTCTTGCGCCGTCTGCCTTTCCCTTGAGGCCATTTCGGGCAGTCTTGGAGGCTCCTTGGGAAAATTTTGAGGCATCTTGGACGTTCTTGGGCCG